TGCATTGTGTGTATATATACATGTATATATATATATATATATATATATATATAATATAAATGCATATTTATATATATGTGTAGGCTATGTGTTAATGTCTATATAGATATATAACAAATAATCCGCACTGTAAAGTAACACTAACCAAGCCCACGAATGTTTTGCTTACATTTTGTCTTATTATATTTTCATATTTTGATTTTGAATATGAACCCTTCGGAACACTTAGGTACACAAACGCCCCCTAGCCTAAACCTGAGTTACCAAGGCCCGCCGAAAAGTCAGCGTAAAGTAACTCGCTGAGTGGTAAGATGGCATCGTTGCTTACATGATGGACAATGGATTTGAAATTAATGACGCATAATGTAAATGGATTAGGGGACTTTAAGACTAGGAAGCGATACTTCAATTTCCTGTTAAGTTAAAAAAGGATTTAATTTTATTATAGGAAACACATTCCACCGAAAGGGACGAAATCTTGTGGAGAAATCAAATCAGATCAAACATAATATTCAGCCACGGAACATCCATGAGCAGAGGAGTGTGTATAATATTGAGAAGAACTTCGGACATTAAAGTGACTTGGTAACCTTGTTGAAGGTTGATGAAAAAAATTGCATAATTTGTGTATATAATGTTACTTACTATATTCCTTCTACTGTACTAACCCTCTGACATTCAAAAATCCTGACAAAAATTCTCAAACTACGAAGATATCTATGATTTTCTTTGAAAAGGTCGATGTATGACACCCTCTAACGGTGATTAACAGTAAATTCTCCCAACCATTTTTGAATTTTCCCAACCGTTTTTCCATGAAAAAAAGACATAAAACAGACTATAAAAAATCTGTCAACACTTAAATGTCTGGAATGGAATGTAGAGCCATTTTATTGCTTTGTGATGATTTCCATTCACCTGAAATGTAATTAAATTGTAATAATATAGTTGGGAGAATTAAGGAATCGATCAGATCAGTTTTCCCCTATTTGTACCATGAATAATGGTCCGTTTTCACTCACATGTTTAGATTATCTTTAATTGTACATCTAGCATTATAGTCACTACCTTAGCACCACTATCTCTCATCTGAACAATGTTACCAAGTCCCTTTAAACTTATTGACTCAGTCAAAGATAAAGTAGGACGTTTGTTTTGTATCAAAGTTGAAATATACAAAAAATCTTTTGTTATAGCCAATATTTATGCACCCAACAATGAAAAAGAGCATGTAGAGTTTTTTAATGGTTTTAATTCAATACTGCAAGAATTTAATAATGAAGATCATACATGTATAATAGGTGGTGATTTTAACTTTATTCAGGATTTGGCCATGGATAGAAAAGAGGGTGCTATGAAACCAAACAACTAACAGATTCACTTGGAGGAGTATGTCCAATCAAGACTAGACTTCTGGCTAATCACAGAAACTTTGCAAACTGACGTAGTGGAAAATGATATATTTCCATGTGTGTTGTCAGACCATAATTATGTTACATTGCACTTACATGTTAAGGAACAGAGAATGGGGCCTTCATACTGGAAATTCAAGAACAGTTTATTTAACAATGAGGAGTTTGTTGAGGCTCTTAGTGACAATGTCCCTTTATAGGTTGATGAATATGAACATAAACATGACAACAAAATGCTGTGGGACTGGCTAAAATATAAAATACGAGAGTTTACTATCACAATTTCAAAAAAGAAAAAATGTGAAAAGGAAAAGTTGGGACAAGAGCTAGAGGAAGAGCTAAAAAAAAAAATGAAATGGAAGTGGACAGTTTGAAAGAAGAAACTTTAATTAAAAAGAAGCAAATTGAAGAGGAATTACATAACAGTTATGACTATTTTGCGGATGGGGCACATCTGAAGTCAAGGTGCACTTGGTAAGAAAAGGGTGAGAAAAGTAACAAGTATTTTTTATCATTAGAGAAAAGCCTGGCTGAAAATACATGTATTTACGTGTTGGATACAAAGGATGGGCTTATTCGAAAACAAGCAAACATCTAAATGCTTATCAAAGAATGCTTTCAAACATTTTTTGAGAATAGAGATATGGAATATCAAGAGGATTGTATGGAATATATTTGTCAAAGTAGACTTGAGCAGTTAACAGAGTCAAAGAAGGCCTCGTGTGAAGGTTGCATATCATGCAATGAGGCAAAAGAGGACCTGATCAAAATGACAAAAAATAAAACTCCAAGAAATGATGGCATCACAGTAGAGTTTTATGAGGTACTTGATTTGGCCTTTGGTTTCAAAATATATGATTGATTCTTTTAATGCTTCATACAATGACGAGTGCATGTCAGTTTCACCAAGGCAGGGAGTAATAACATTAATTCCTAAGACCAACTAGGACAAACTTAAACTTGGTAACTGGCGACCAATCACTCTGGTAAATGTTGACGCAAAAATCCTTTCTAAATATTTGGCCAAAAGGATATCTAAAGTGATAGAAATTTTGATCAACAGTCAACAGACTGCTTTTGTTAAAGGGAGATATATTGGAGAAGGGATTCTATTAATATCAGATCTCATGTTTTATGCAGAAAAAGAGGATTTACAAGGTATAATAATGGCATTGGATCTCCCCAAGTCATTCGATTCATTTAGCCATTCATTTATTTTCCATTGTATAGAAGCCTATAACTTTGGGCCCTCACAAATACAGTGGGTTAAAATTCTATATAAAGATACCAGTAGCTGTGTTCTGTTAAATGGGTTCACTACATGTTACTTCAAAGTTAGCAGAGGAGTAAGGCAGGGTGATCCTCTTGCACCTCTGTTATTCATTTTGGGATTGGAAGTATATTTGAATAGAGTAAGAAATAATGGCAATATTGTGGGTTTTGAAGTGGGGAGAAAGGAAATAAAATACACAGCTTATGCTAATGACATAACATGTTTTTGCAAAAGTAATGAGTCCCTAAAAATTGTATTTTCAGAGCTTGAGGAATTTTCAAAAATGTCTGGTCTTTTTATAAATAAATCTAAAATTGAAGGCACGTGGATCGGTAAGAATAGGCATCAAGGTGAAAAAGACAGTGCTTATACATGGCCAGAGAAGGGAATAACAGTTCTGGGCATATATTTCTCATATGACTTTGAAGAAGCAAGGAAAATAAACTTTGAAACTCGAATTAAAGAAATGAGAAATATACTTGCTAAATGGAAAAACAGAGGACTAACATTGATTGGCAAAACACAAATCTTAAAAACTTTATAATGTCCAAAGTAATTTATCTCTTGTCCTACATTTCATTGCCCACTGACCTTGTCAAAGAAATTGAGAAGCACATGTTTTCATTTATGTGGAACGGTCCGGACAAAATCTCAAGAGCAACTATGTATGCTGATTACTCAGAAAGGGGACTGAAATTCCCAAATATTCAATGTATGATAAATACTCAGCTGGTAACATTGGTTCAACGATATTTTCACAAATCGGATCACAGCTGGACTATTCCTTTTGAGAAGTTCTTAAGGTTATATGGTGGTAAATCTATTTTTGTCAGTAATTATGCAAATAAGAAACTACCAAAAATGGAGGATATTCCTCCATTTTATGTTGCCTTATTGAAAGCATGGTTAAAACAGATATTCATTGTGAATTCGTTACTAACGATATAAGTCAGGTCAGAATACCGAAGCAGAGTGTCTGGAATAATAAGTTCATTCTGGTTGATAAAAGGTCAGTATACTGCAGAGCTTTACATGAGGCAGGGCTTTGTAATATATACCAATTACAATTGAAAAATTCTCCATTTTGATATTTGGAATGAAAAAGGTGTTTCAAACAAATATTTTTTACAATACATGGCAATAGTAAACTCTGTGAAAAAAAGAGTGGAAGTGTGAATTTGTTCCCTTAGTATTCGAAAAAAAATGAATAGAGAAAGTGGAGAGCACTCACAATTAGATTTCCTGATATCTGAACTATATAAACTCAAATCGAAAATAGTGTACAAGGGTTTTCTTTCTGAAGTAATAGCAAGACTAGTTTGTGAACAGATATTCTCTAGCGCCTATGATATTCAAGAAAAGGACTGGTCACAAATCTATATTTTACCTTTCAATTGCACAATTGAAGTAAAAATGAGAGTTTTCCAATTAAAACTGTCACATAACATACTTTATACTAATAACAGATTGTATAATATGAAATTAGTTGAGTCAGAGATGTGTACCTTTTGTAATTCAACTTTAGAAACACCTGTTCATTTATTTTATGACTGTGATGTTGCTTCTAAGCTTAGACAGGAACTTGTTGATAATATTGGCACGAAATTTAAAGTTAAGTTTGAAGATCTCAGTAAGAAAAGAATAATGTTTGGATTCATCAAAGATTGGAAAGGGCCCAATATGATGCTATTGAATCACTTGTTGCTAATGTTTAAAAGATATATTTATATCCAAAAACGCAAAAGCGCAAAACCATGTTTAAGTGGGCTAATGTCTTTTATCAGTAACACGAAATACATAGATCTTAACATTGCAAAACAGAAAAAGATTGAAGGAATGCACTATAAGAAATGGTCCCATGTGGAAGAAGTATTTTTATTTTAATCCTATGATATACACTTTAGAAAAGAAAATGTTACCCACTATTTCTGTATTGTTTGACGTTTTTCATCTGTTCTTACCTTTTGTAATTATTGTGCCGTGATTTTTATGATTATTTTTTATCATGATGTATGTACGAATTACTTGATAAATACAAGTTTTAAAAGATATTTTTTAAAATAAAAAATGGCATCGTTTAGACAAGGGGATGACTAGCGCTATGTGTAAATGGGTGGGGAGCGTGGTCAATGCAGTGAGTTGCACAAAACTATTTCGAAATAGATAACTGATTAAAAACGAGAACAAAAATAGAATTATCTGATATACTAACGAGAAATATATTAACATGACGTCAAGTATTTTCGCGACAATAGTCATAATTGACTAATCGCCATTGAGCCAAAACAGAAGAAGAAGAAGAATAATTGACTTACATAAACCACGTATTCCGTTTGACTCAAATGCACGTTGTCCACGTGGAAGGTCCCTCTTTGCTGTTGATATTGCGGATCTGGAATGAATTAAAAGGCAGACACGTTAGTAAAATTGATACACATCTATAGTCATGATAACACGGTAGAAATTGCTTCACAATAGTAAGACTCAGTCCCAGCTATAGTCATAATAACTGGGTAGATCTTCCTTCATGATTATTACACTAGAAAATTGTCACTCTGATGAAACATCGATCCGTTGGCAACATTTATTCATGAGCTTGATACGTGGTACTTGGTTGAGTTATCCCTTTGTAAGCTCACTAAGGAAGGTTTACTGGGATGGGTAGGTGAAGCGAGTAACTGCAAGGAGTGCCATGAAGTGCATAGATGGTGTGTGGACAAAGCTCTTCTCAATTTACAGCACAATAATTGTAAGTACAGTGCAAGTAAAAACCATGCTATGATAACTTTGAAAGACAATCCTACCAATTCTCTTTGAAAGCCTGCTAATTAAAGCCAATTGTCATCCTAAAAGGGTTCGAAACAAACTGAAAACATTGATTTTAAGAAGCCGGAGAAACAAATCGTGTCGTTGTTGATAGAAGTCTCACTGTGAAATAACGAGCATTTAGTTCCTGGTTTGAGAAAAACAAATCCTACAGGCTACATGGTAATGAACCAAGCACAGGCAAACTGGATTCAACTGGATTCAAGCTGGATTCAAGCTGGGATCTGCTTTTTCAGTTTAGTTCACTACTTAAAAAGGAGTTGAGCAAATTTTGTCTGAATCGATTTAAACAAAAATTATAACATTTTTACTTGTTCATTTTTGCTAAACTAGCACATTAGTGAGTAATTAACGAAAAACCACAATAAAAACTATGACGTCATTAATCATGTAATACATTACGATGTAGATGATAAGATAGTAATCGGCAATAAAACGGGCTTTGACCAATCACGTATAGGATAAATTGGATTGCAGAACCAAAACATCGGTCAAGTTAATTTGCGTTGGGCAAACAAAAACAACACAAATATAAAAGTAACAAAACTACAACAAGGAAATAGAAAATAATCAAGCCTGAATTATGTTTGTTTTTAAATTGGTATGTAATATTGATTAACCTTTTGTTAAAGATCGAGACTAATCAATTCTAATTACCTCCTATTTAACTCCATATCTATTAATACAACATTCATTCATCAAAATATGCGTGTTTAATTTGTTTGGTCATGAACTGGGATGATGTAATAGACGTAACTTATCATATTCATATAAATCAAAACATATAGTGATTTCTATGAGCTTGTCACATTTTGTTATCACTATGCTCGTATCAAAACGGTAATGCAGCATTAATCTCAATAGCACTACAGCGGGTGTATATTTTATCGCATATAATCGTAGTAGTATGGTGGCCCTGAAGGGACATCGCGAATAGACTAAATCGTGAAAAATATGCGATAAAATTCACGATATCGTCAATTTTATCGCATATTTTTCACAAAGAAATTCACGAAATTGACGATATCGTGAACTTTATCGTGAACTTTTCACGATGAAATTGACGATATCGTGAATTTTATCGTGAAAAGTTCACGATATAAAGTTCACGATATCGTCAATTTTATCGTGTACTCTATCGTGTACTCTATCGTGTACTCTCCTGACGGGCGCTTCGTAAACAAAACCAGCCCCAGCTGGGGGAGACAGAGAGAAGGAAAAAAGGGAAAGGGAAAGAGAAGATAAAAGGAAAGAAAGAATAATAAGAAGAAAAGAGGGAAACGGGGGGGGGGGCGAAGGGCTCTTGCCTCCTCCTCACTCCCCCCCCCCGCCAAAAAATAAATAAGGAGAGAGAGAAGGGAAAGGGAAAGGGAAAGAAAATATAAAAGGAAAGAAAGAAGAGGAAGAAGGAAAGAGGGAAACGGGGGAAGGGCGAAAGGCTCTTACCTCCCCCCCCCCCCCGCCAAAAAAATAAATAAGAGAGAGAGAGAGAGAGAGAAGGGAAAGGGAAAGAAAGAAGAGGAATAAGAGGGAAACAGGGGAAGGGCGAAGGGCTCTTGCCTCCTCCCCCCCCCCCCGCCAAAAATAAATAAGAGAGAGAAGGGAAAGGGAAAGAAAATATAAAAGGAAAGAAAGAAGAGGAATAAGAAGGAAAGAGGGAAACGGGGGAAGGGCGAAGGGCTTTTGCCTCCTCCCTCCCCACCCCCGCCAAAAAAATAAATAAGAGATAGAGAGAGAAGGGAAAGGGAAAGGGAAAGAGAAGATAAAAGGAAAGAAAGAAGAGGAAGAAGAAGAAGAAAAGAGGGAAACGGGGGCGAAGGGCTCTTGCATCCCCCCGCCCAAAAAATAAATAAGAGAGAGAGAGAGAGAGAGAAGGGAAAGGGAAAGAGAATAAAAAAGGAAAGGAAGAAGAATAAGAAGAAAAGAGGGGCTCTTGCCTCCTCCCCCCCTCCCGCGCCGACAAATAAATAGGAGAGAGAGAGATAGATAGAGAGAAGGGAAAGGGAAAGGGAAAGAAAATATAAAAGGAAAGAAAGAAGAAGAAGACGGAAAGAGGGAAACGGGGGAAGGGCGAAAGGCTCTCACCTCCCCCTCCCCCCTCCCGCCATAAAGGGAAAGAGAAGGGAGAGGGAAAGAAAATATAAAAGGAAAGAAAGAAGAGGAAAAAGAATAAGAAAAGAGGGAAACAGGGGCGAAGGGCTCTTGCCTCCTTTTTTTTCTTTCTTTTCCTTTCTTTCCTATTCTCCCTCTTTTTCGTTTTTCTCTTTCTTTCTTCTCTTTCCCTTTCCTTCTCTCTCTCTCTCTCTTATTTATTTTTTGGCGGGACGAGGCAAAAGCCCTTTGCCCCCGTTTCCCTCTTTTCTTCTTCTTCCTCTTCTTTCTTTCCTTTTATCTTCTCTTTCCCTTTCCCTTTCCCTTCTCTCTCTCTCTCTAATTTATTTTTTGGCGGGGGCGGGGGGGGGGGGGGGAGGGGGGGGGCAAGAGTCCTTCGTCCTTCCCCCGTTTTCCTCTTTTCTTCTTCTTCCTCTTCTTTCTTTCCTTTTATCTTCTCTTTCCCTTTCCCTTTCCTTTCTCTCTCTCTCTCTGATTTATTTTTTGGCGGGGAGGGGGGGGGGGGGGGGGAGTGAGGAGGAGGCAAGAGCCCTTCGCCCCCCGTTTCCCTCTTTTCTTCTTATTATTCTTTCTTTCCTTTTATCTTCTCTTTCCCTTTCCCTTTTTTCCTTCTCTCTGTCTCCCCCAGCTAGGGCTGGTTTTGTTTACGAAGCGCCCGTCAGGAGAGTACACGATAGAGTACACGATAGAGTACACGATAAAATTGACGATATCGTGAACTTTATATCGTGAACTTTTCACGATAAAATTCACGATATCGTCAATTTCATCGTGAAAAGTTCACGATAAAGTTCACGATATTGTCAATTTCGTGAATTTCTTCGTGAAAAATATGCGATAAAATTGACGATATCGTGAATTTTATCGCATATTTTTCACGATTTAGTCTATTCGCGATGTCCCTTCAGGGCCACCATATAGTAGGTCAATGGTATCACGTGCACCAGCGTTCTGTTACACGCATGAGTGTAGTGATCATTGGTGTTCTTCTGAGTGGCTGCCATTTTGTTCCTGATGACTACGGCGTTTTGTGAGCCGTAAACTGCAAAGATTGTTCACAAATTTCTTGTTAGTGAGCCATATTTGTCCAAACGACCATCAGGATTCGGAATTTTGCATATTTTAAAAGTAATTAAAAGATGTTTATTGCGTTGTGCCCCGTACCACCTGTTGAACCAAAAATCGTGGGTTTGAATCCAACCAAGGCAGATAACTAAAGCCTGCCTGCCGCGAGTGTTAAAGGTAATACAATAAGTTTTGGTTTGGGGTCATGAATTTGGTTTAAATGAACTTATTGTAAGCATATGAGATCCTACAATATTCAGTCATCGTTGTCGCGGTTAAAATCGAGTCCAAAGTGATGAAATTGTAAATAATAAATCTTTATGTTGTATAGCTCCCTCTCAAGGTCAAGAATTAATTAAGCTTTAAAAAACAATGTTTCTTGATTACAATCGACCGATTTGCTATTCCCGTGTGGGAATTATATATCACAACTACATATTCTGAGATTTGTATGGTCGCAGCTACCATGGAATGGCATTATAGGCGCTATTTTATTTATTTTGTATTTACCGGGAGCACCGGTAAATTTTATTATTCAAATTTCTCGAAAGCAGAAGTGTTTTAGAGGCTAATTTTTTAGTGCTGATAATACATATATCAACATTTTAAAGAATTACTACCCATCCAGTTTTCATAATATCCCAAAACTTTGTATTACCTTTAACGTGCCCAACACGCAACAAAATATGTACTATACTGTCTTAATGATAATAATAAACTAAACACAAATCTGTAGTTTTTTTAGTATCGAATCAAAATTGAGTTTTTTATGTTGATATTTATCATAAGTTCTGAGCTTTTTCGGATGTAGTCATAGGGTAGGTGCAGGGAATTGGAGAACGCAGGGAATTGGAGACCACCAAGCTTGAACCCATCACTGTCTGTCCGTGTTGGCTCCAATATTGCTATAGCGCCATTTTTGGCCTTTCAAGATGCTATGTCCCTTTTGCAGCCAACCTCAAATTCTGTAGAACTTTGCAGGAATTTCGAATATGTAATGTATGTCCTATCTGTGAAATTTAAACGTTAGCAGTGTCCTAATATTCAAATTATGCAAGGAAACCTGTTTACTTGCTAGACTTCACTGTCAGACACTATTGAGTGACTGATTGGCTTTTTTCTTCTTTGGTAATAACATACATAACATGAGCTGTAAAGGATACATGATCATTGGTCTACATCAGTAACCCACTTCTTATAATAGCCAAAATTAATCTGATTGAATCTTTGCGCAGCATAAAACGTACGACCATTCGGTACAATGGTCTGAAAATCGACTATTACTTATTGGCTCTATAGCTCCTAAGTCGATTTGACAACTAATAGTCGTTATTTTCCCACTTAAAGACAATTTCAAGCCCCCCCCCCCTTTTTTTTAGGGAAGTTCTAAATTAGTATTATCTTTCAAATGCCGTTGGAATTGAACCTTTTCATTTTTTTGGACTGCAAATGGGACATAGTACCTTTAACAACACTACTGCATATATTCAATTCATTTCGAAGACTACAATGTGCATGCTCTTTCTCCAAGAAAGTTGGCAAAATTGTCCAAGGTAACCAATTTTGATCGTAAAATTTTGCTCTGATATAAAAACACAATTTTTACTGAATGCTGTGGTGTATGCAGATATTTAGGGGTGGCTCTTACAAAGTAGTTTTAAAATGAAGTTTATGAAGTGTGCCAAACTATCACAGAAAACTTATGGCCATTGTATGCTGGGAATGGGTGTTGCACATCACATTATGAATGTTTAACATGTTATAAATTAACCCTTTTTTTTAATAACAGAATTGGAAGAAAAAAAGTAAATCACGGAAATAGACTGCCCCGGGTCAAAATACTATACCTTATACGTTGTGTATGAAAATCTGCAAAAAAGTAATCAAGGAAATATTGTTGAATATCATTGACTACTATGGGAAACCTGGAAATTTATCAATTCAACTGAAGCTTTTGGATTAGTCCGCATAATAGTGGACGAATAATTGATACAGAGGTATATGCATTGTGTGTAGATATACATGTATATATATATATATATATATATATCTGCATATTTATATATATGTGTAGGCTATGTGTTAATGTCTATATAGATATATAACAAATAATCCGCACTGTAAATTGATAATAACCAAGCCCACGAATGTTTTGATCTCATTTTGTCTTATTATATTGTCATATTTTGATTTTTAATATGAACCCCTCAGAACATTTAGGTACACAAACGCCCCCTAGCCTATGCCTGAGTTACCAAGGCTGCCGCAAAGTCAGCGTAAAGTAACTCGCTGAGTGGTAAGATGGCATCGTTTACAAGGGGAGGACTAGCGCTATGTGTAACTGAGTGGGGAGCGTGGTCAATGAAGTGAGTTGCACAAAACTATTTCAAAGTAGATAACTAATAAAAAACGAGAAAAATTGAATTATCGGATATATACAATTAGCAGTGAAAGGGGAAAATGTATTTGTTAATCTTCCAATCGGTTATGGCAAATCTGCGATTTTTTTCAAGCCATTCCACTGTGCAAGGAATTGTGCAAACGACAGTCGCTGCCAGCCCACCATCCCTATCGGCGCCTTCTCCCGAAGCTGCCCAGAGTTCGGCGGGAGGTACTACTCACACTGCACTGTCCATTGAAGTTATCGTTTCACCTCTCATTTCTTTAATGAAGGATCAGGTATGTAATAATTTAATCCAAATTGTTGTGAACAGGACAAGACCAGGTCCTTATTTCATAAAGAAATAATTGCAAGTTTTCTACAGAATACATAATTTTACTAAGATACGATTACGAGTCGCACATGATTTTATTTTTATTAAGTTAGATTTACATATCGGCGTCGCTGGGGTGGCAACCCCGGCCCCCCACTCAGTGTTATTTAGGGTACGCATATGCTCGTACCCTCTTTTTGAAGGCACCCCCTATCTGAGGACTGCCAACATTTCCGAACCCCCCTTTCGCGGGGTTTTCGCGGGCTTTTCCAGCCTTGGAAACCCCCATAAATCAGGAAAAATGCTCAATGTACCTCCCTTAATTCGGAATAATTTCTCAGGAGTCCAAAGAGATGAGAGAAAAAAAGAAAAACACCCCCTTTTTAAAGAAATCTCCGGGTGAAAAGTCAAATACCCCTTTTCTTACAATTCTCGGGCCGGACTTTGTCAGTCGTACGAAAAGTACCCTTTAACCGGACATTTTGGCAACACGCATGCGGTCATTCCGACCTCTGAGTGGGGGGGGGGGGGGGCCGGGGTGGCAACATGACCAACAAATGTTCAGGAGAGCTGAACAACATGGCTGCCTTATCATGCAAGTCACAACCAACCTTCATTTCTCATTTGTGCCCTTGTCATTGCAATGCGTCCTAGCTGCACAATTATGAAGAAAACTCATTTTCACAAATATTGAATTACGAAGTCTAGTCATCCCGGCGACGATGTGTCGTAGACTCCATGGCCTGTTTAAGAAAGAATTTGTTGTGATTAATCATGAGTTTTTATAACAATTTGCCATAGAGCTGCAATTAATCTTGATACTTGTCCAGTTGCAATCAATCGCAGCCCTAAGGCAAAACATGTACATAACTCACAATTGATGGCAACAATTTCTTCAATTATAACACTAACCAAGCCCACGAATGTTTTGCTATCATTTTCTCTTATTATATTGTCATATTTTGATTTTGAATATGAACCCCTCGGAACAATATAATACGGAATGAATATAAACGCCCCCTAGCCTATGTCTGATTTACCAAGGCCCGCCAAAAAGTCAGCGTAAAGTAACTCGCTGAGTGGTAAGATGGTATCGTGTATAAGGGGAGGACTAGCGCTATTTGTAACTGAGTGGGGAGCGTGGTCAATGTAGTGAGTTGCACAAAACTATTTCGAAATAGATAACTAATAAAAAACGAGAAAAATAGAATTATCAGATATACTACCGAGAATCATTTTCACATGACGTCAAGTATTTTGGCGACAATAGTCATAATTGACTAATCGCCATTGAGCCAAAACAGAAGAAGAAGAACAAGAATTTACTTACATAAACCACGTATTCCGTTTGACTCAAATGCACTTTGTCCACGTGGAAGATCCCTCTTTGCTGTTGATATTGCGGATCTGGAATAAAAATTAAAAGGCAGACACGTTAGTAAAATTGATACACATCTATAGTCACGATAACACGGTAGAAAATGCTTCACAAAAGTAAGACTCAGACCAAGCTATAGTCATAATATCTGGGTAGATCTTCCTTCATGATTATTACACTAGAAAATTGTCACCCTGATAAAACATCGATCCGTTGGCAACATTTATTCATGAGCTTGATACGTGGTACTTGGTTGAGTTATGGGGACAAAATGCACTATATCACACTCGAAGATTTCACCAGGAAGTATGAACAAATTTAGGTACAAGATCATGTTTCATTCCAAAAGGAGCTAAATCCAAATCGGTTTCATTCCAAAAGGAGCTAAATCCACTTTGGGTACTTCTGAGTAAACCACCTTTTTTATTTCTCCACTTTCCCTTAAGCAATGTACCTTCATGTTGTTATACAATTATGTTAAAGGTGTCGCCCTGGACAAATAATATATGATAAGAAAAAAAATCTACCACTTATTTCTTATTTTTACTTAATTTTTAGATTTTGCGGACTTAGCTCCTTTTGGAATGAAATATGGATTTAGCTCCTTTGGAATGAAACGGATTTAGCTCCTTTTGGAATGAAAATGTGATATGTTGTTTACTTTCTTTTCAAAAGCATCTTTTAGTTGTGATTTCACTATTATTATTTAAAAGGAAAGGTTTGCTACTAAATTTGAATAAATTTCAGTGACTTTATTGAGAAAATATGAAATTTTCCAGTTACAATATCATGTTTCATTCCAAAAGGAGCTAAATCCACGAAAAAAATAATTCAAAAAATTGAGTAAAAATCAGGAAAAACTGGTAGATTTTTTCTCATCATATATTATTGGTCCAGGGTGACATCTTTAAAATATATAACAACATTAAAGTCCATGGCTAAAGGGTAATTAGAGAAATAAAAAAGATGATTTACTGAGAGGTACCCAAAGTGGATTTAGCTTCTTTTGGAATGAAACTCTTCATATAGTGATTTCTATGAGCTTGTCACATTTTGTTATCACTATGCTCGTTTCAAAACGGTAATGCAGCATTAATCTCAATAGCACTACAGCGGGTGTATATTTTATCGCATATAATCGTAGTAGGTCAATGGTATCACGTGCACCAGTGTTCTGTTACACGCATGAGTGTAGTGATCATTGGTGTGTTCTTCTGAGTGGCTGCCATTTTGTTCCTGATGACTCCGGCGTTTTGTGAGCCGTAAATTGCAAAGATTGTTCACAAATTTCTTGTTAGTGAGCCATATTTGTCCAAACGACCATCAGGATTCGGAATTTTGCATATTTTAAAAGTAATTAAAAGATGTTTATTGCGTTGTGCCCCGTACCATCTGTCGAACCAAAAATCGCGGGTTTGAATCCAACCAAGGCAGATGACTAAAGCCTGCCTGCCTCGATTGTTAAAGGTTATACAATAAGTTTTGGTTTGGGGTCATGAATTCGGTTTAAATGAACATATTGTAAGCATATGCGATCCTACAATATGCAGTCATCGTTGTCGCGGTTGAAATCGAGTCCAAAGTGATGAAATTATAAATTATAAATCTTGATGTTGTATAGCTCCCTCTCAAGGTCAATAATTATTTCAGCTTTAAAAACAATGTTTCTTGACTACAATCGACTGATTTGCTATTCCCGTGTGGGAATTATATATCACAACTACATATTCTAAGATTTTTATGGTCGCAGCTACCATGGAATGGCATAAGGCGCTATTTTTATTTTTTTTAATTTACCGGGAGCACCGGTAAATTTTATTATTCAAATTTCTCGAAAGCAGAAGTGTTTTAGAGGCTAATTTTTTAGTGCTGATAATACATATATCAACATTTTAAAGAATTACTACCCATCCAGTTTTAAAAATATCCTAAAACTTTGTATTACCTTTAACGTGCCCAATACGCCAAATACTATATACTAAACTTTCTAATGATAATAATAAGCTAAACACAAATCCGTAGTTTTTTTAGTATCGAGTCAAAATTGAGTTTTTTATGTTGATATTTATCATAAGTTCTGAGCTTTTTCGGATTTAGTCATAGGGGAAGTCGTGGGTTCGAACCCCGGCCTTGTCATACCAAAAGACGTTAAAAGATGGGAGTTGTTGCTACCTTGTTTGGCGTTCAACAATATGGGATAGAGCAACGTCGATCTGGCGCTGCTCAGTGGCTGCCGGGCTCACGATCAATTGGGCAAAAAGAATTTCCGTTTCGGTTTAATGAAATTTGGAGTGGACTATTAGGCTATTATTATTATTATATTGTACCCATCACTGTCTGTCCGTGTTGGCTACAATATTGCTATAGCGCCATTTTGGGCCTTTACAGATGCTATGTCCATTTCGCAGCCAACCTCAAATTCTGTAGAACCTTGCAGGAATTTTGAATATGTAATGTTTGTCCTATCTGTAAAATTTAAACGTTAGCAGTGCCCTAATATTCAAATTATGCAAGGAAACCTGTTTACTTGCTAGACTTCACTGTCAGACACTATTGAGTGACTGATTGTCTTTTTTCTTCTTTGGTAATAACATACATAACATGAGCTGTAAAGGAAGCATGAGCATTTGTCTACATCAGTAACCCACTTCTTGTAATAGCCAAAATTAATCTGATTGAATCTTTGCGCAGCATAAAACGTACGACCATTCAGTACAATGGTCTGAAAATCGAATATTACTTATTGGCTCTATAGCTCCTAAGTCGATTTGACACCCAATAGTCGTTATTCCCCCCCTTTTTTAGGGAAGTTCTAAATTAGTGTTATCTTTCAAATGCCGTTGGAAATTAACCTTTTCATTTTTTGGCCTGCAAATGGGACATAATACCTTTAACAACACTACTGCATATATCCAATTCATTTCGAAGACTCAATGTGCATGCTTTTTCTCCAAGAAAGTTGGCAAAATTGTCCAAGGTAACCAATTTTGATCGTAAAATTTTGCTCTGATATAAAAACACAATTTTCACTGAATGTTGTGGTGTATGCAGATATTTAGGGGTGGCTCTTACAAAGTAGTTTTAAAATGAAGTTTATGAAGTGTGCCAAACTATCACAGAAAACTTATGGCCAATGTATGATGGGAATGGGTGTTGCACAGCACATTATGAATGTTTAACATGTTATAAATTGACCTTTTTTTTAAATAACAGAATTAGAAAAAGAAGTAAATCACGAAAATAGACTGCCCCGGGTAAAAATAATATACCTTACGTTGTGTATGAAAATCTGCCAAAAGTAATCAAGGAAATCATGTTGAATATCATTTACTTATGTGGGAAACCCGCGTAATAGTGGACGAATAATTGATACAGAGGCATATGCATTGTTTGTAGAAACACATGTATATAATATATATGCATATGTATATATATATGTGTATGTGTTAATGTCTATATAGATATACAACAAATAATCCGCACTGTAAAGTAACACTAACCAAGCCCACGAATGTTTTGCTTACATTTTGTCTTATTATATTCTCATATTTTGATTTTGAATATGAACCCCTCGCAACACTTAGGTACACAAACGCCCCCTAGCCTAAGGCTGAGTTACCAAGGCCCGCCGAAAAGTCAGCGTAAAGTAACTCGCTGAGTGGTAAGATGACATCGTTGCTTACATGATGGACAATGGATTTGAAATTAATGACGCATAATGTAAATGGATTAGGGGACTTCAAGACTAGGAAGCGATACTTCAATTTCCTGTTAAGTTAAAAAAAGGATTTAATTTTATTATAGGAAACACATTCCAACAAAAGGGACGAAATCTTGTGGAGAAATCAAATCAGATCAAACATAATATTCAGCCACGGAACATCCATGAGCAGAGGAGTGTGTATAATATTGAGAAGAACTTCGGACATTAAAGTGACTTGGTAACATTGTTCAAGGTTGATGAAAAAAAATGCATAATTTTTGTATATAATGTTACTTACTATATTCCTTCTACTGTACTAACCCTCTGACATGCAAAAAATCCTGAAAAAATTCTCAAACTACGAAGATATCTATGGAGAATTAAGGAATCGATCAGATCAGTTTTTCCCTATTTGTACCATAAATAATGGTCCGTTTTCACTCAAATTTTCAGATTATCTTTAAATGTACATCTAGCATTATAGGCACTACCTTAGCACCACTATCTCTCATCTGAAAAATGTTACCAAGTCCCTTTAACCTTATTGACTCAGTCAAAGATAAAGTAGGACGTTTGTTATGTATCAAAGTTGAAATATACAAGAAATCTTTTGTTATAGCCAATATTTATGCACCCAACAATGAAAAAGAGCATGTAGAGTGTTTTAATGGTTTTAATTCAATACTGCAATAATCTAATAATGAAGGTCATACATGTATAATAGGTGGTGATTTTAACTTTATTCAGGATTTGGCCATGGATAGAAAAGAGGGTGCTATGAAAACAATTTGGAAGCATTCTTGTACCCTGGTAGACAGTTTGAAAGATTATTTTCATATTATCGATATTTGGAGAGTAAGAAACCAAACAACTAACAGTTTCCCTTGGGGAAGGTATACACCATATGTCCAATCAAGACTAGACATTCGGCTAATCACAGAAACTTTGCAAACTGACCTAGTGGAAAATGATATATTTCCATGTGTGTTGTCAGACCATAATTATGTTACATTGCACTTACATGTTAAGAAACAGAGAATGGGGCCTTCATACTGGAAATTCAAGAACAGTTTATTAAACAATGAGGAGTTTGTTGAGTCTCTAGTGACAATGTCCCTTTATGGGTTGATGGATATGAACATAAACATGACAACAAAATGCTGTGGGACTGGCTAAAATATAAAATACGAGAGTTTACTATCCCATTTTCAAAAAAGAAAAAGTGTGAAAAGGAAAAGTTGGGACAAGAGCTAGAGGAAGAGCTGGAAAAAAAATGAAATGAAAGTGGACAGTTTGAAAGAAGAAACTTTAATTAGAAAGAAACAAATTGAAGAGGAATTATATAAAATTTATGACTATTTTGCGGATGGGGCAATTCTAAAGTCAAGGTGCACTTGGTAAGAAAAGGGTGAGAAAAGTAACGAGTATTTGTTATCATTAGAGAAAAGCCTGGCTGAAAATACATGTATTGACGTGTTGGATACAAAGGATGGGCTTATTCAAAAACAAGCAAACATCTAAATGTTTATTAAAGAATCCTTTCAAACATTTTTTGAGAATAGAGATATGAAATATCAAGAGGATTATATGGAATATATTTGTCAAAGTAGATTTGAGCAGTTAACAGAATCAGAAAAGGCCTCGTGTGAAGGTTGCATATCATGCAATGAGGCAAACGAGGACCTGATCAAAATGACAAAAAATAAAACTCCAGGAAATGATGGCATCACAGTAGAGTTTTATGAGGTATTTTGGCCTTTGGTTTCAAAATATATGATTGATTCTTTTAATGCTTCATACAATGAAGAGTGTATGTCAGTTTCACCAAGGCAGGGAGTAATAACATTAATTCCTTAGACCAAAAAGGACAAACTTAAACTTGGTAACTGGCGACCAATCACTCTGGTAAATGTTGACGCAAAAATCCTTTCTAAATGTTTGGCCACAAGGATATCTAAAGTGATAGAAAATTTGATCAACAGTCAACAGACTACTTTTGTTAAAGGGAGATATATTGGAGAAGGGATTCGATTAATATCAGATTTCATGTTTTATGCAGAAAAAGAGGATTTACAAGGTATAATAATGGCATTGGATCTCCCCAAGGCATTCGATTCATTAAGCCATTCATTTATTTTCCATTGTATGGAAGCCTATAACTTTGGGCCCTCACTAATACAGTGGGTTAAAATTATATATAAAGATATCAGTAGCTGTGTTCTGTTAAATGGGTTCACTACATGTTACTTCAAAGTTAGCAGAGGAGTAAGGCAGGTAGATCCTCTTGCACCTCTGTTATTCATTTTGGTATTGGAAGTATATTTTGAATAGAGTAAGAAATAATGGCAATATTGTGGGTTTTGAAGTGAGGGGAAAGGAAATAAAATACACAGCTTATGCTGATGACATAACATGTTTTTGCAAAAGTAATGAGTCCCTAAAAATTGTATTTTCAGAGTTTGAGGAATTTTCAAAAATGTCTGGTCTTTGTATAAACAAATCTAAAACTGAAGGGATGTGGATCGGTAAGAATAGGCATCAAGGTGAAAAAGACAGTGCTTATACATGACCAGAGAAGGAAATAACAGTTCTGGACATATATTTCTCATATGACTTTGAAGAAGCTAGGAAAATAAACTTTGAAACTCGAATTAAAGAAATGAGAAATATACTTGCTAAATGGAAAAACAGAGGACTAACATTGATTGGCAAAACACAAATCTTAAAAACCTTTATAATGTCCAAAGTAATTTATCTCTTGTCCAACATTTCATTGCCCACTGAACTTGTCACAGAAATTTGCAAATAAGAAACTACCAAAAATCGAGGATATTCCTCCATTTTATGTTGCCTTATTGAAAGCATGGTTAAAAACAGATATTCATTGTGAATTGGTTAATAACGATAGAAGTCAGGTCAGAATACCGAAGCAGAGTGTTTGGAAAAACAAGTTCATTCTGGTTGATAAAAGGTCATTATACTGCAGAGCTTTACATGAGGCAGGGCTTTGTAATATATACCAATAACAATTGAAAAATTCTCCATTTTGATATTTGGAATGAAAAAGGTGTTTCAAACAAATACTGTTTACAATACATGGCAATAGTAAACTCTGTGAAAAAAAGAGTGGAAGTGTGAATTTGTTCCCTAAGTATTCGAAAAAAATTCTTAGCTGAGACCGTAACTTGTTGATAATATTTGCACGAAATTTAAAGTTAAGTTTGAAGATCTCAGTAAGAAAAGAATAATGTTTGGATTCATCAAAGATTGGAAAGGGCCCAATATGATGCTATTGAATCACTTGTTGCTAATGTTTAAAAGATATATTTATATCCAAAAACGCAAAAACGCAAAACCATGTTTAAGTGGGCTAATGTCTTTTATCAGTAACACAAAATACATATATCTTAACATTGTATAACAGAAAAAGATTGGATAATGCACTATAATAAATGGTCCCCTGTGGAAGAAGTATTTTAATTTTAATCCTATGATATACACTGTAGAAAAGAAAATGTTACCCACTATTTCTGTATTGTTTGACGTCTTTAATCTGTTCTTACCTTTTGTAATTATTGTGCAGTGATTTTTATGATTATTTTTATCATGATGTATGTACGAATTACTTGATAAATAAAAGTTTTAAAAGATTTTGTTTTTAAATAAAAAATGGCATCGTTTAGACAAGGGGATGACCAGCGCCAGGGGCGTACGCAGGGGGGGGGGGGGGGGGGGGGGGGGGGGTTTGGGGGTTAAACCCCCCCTTTGGTATTTTTATGTGTGTAAACCCCCCTAAAAAATCCTAAACCCCCCCCCCTTGGTTTTGTTTTTGTTTTTTTGTTTTTTTAATTATAAAAAAAATAAAAAAATAAAAAAATTATACCCACGGCTAACCTAAAAAAGGTGACCTTACCCCTCCCCCCCCAACGAAGAAAAATGTCAAATTATGAAATTTCGAGACCAAAAAAAAAAAAAGTGTCCGCTTACCCCCCCCCCCCCCCCCCCCCCCCCCCCCCCCCCCCCCCCCACTGAGCGACTTTTGGCCGGCTCGATTTTCAAATTTTCGGGAGCAAAATATTTTAAAACCCCCCCTTGTAAAAATCCTGCGTACGCCCCTGACCGGCGCTATGTGTAACTGGGTGGGGAGCGTGGTCAATGCAGTGAATTGCACAAAACTATTTCGAAATAGATAACTAATGAAAAACGAGAACAAAAATAGAATTATCTGATATACTAACGAGAAATATATTCACATGAAGTCAAGTATTTTCGCGACAATAGTCATAATTGACTAATCGCCATTGAGCCAAAACAGAAGAAGAAGAAGAAGAATTTACTAACATAAACCACGTATTCCGTTTGACTCAAATGCACTTTGTCCACGTGGAAGATCCCTCTTTGCTGTTGATATTGCGGATCTGGAATAAATTAAAAGGCAGACACGTTAGTAAAATTGATACACATCTATAGTCATGATAACACGGTAGAAATTGCTTCACAATAGTAAGACTCAGACCAAGCTATAGTCATAATATCTGGGTAGATCTTCCTTCATGATTATTACACTAGAAAATTGTCACTCTGATAAAACATCGATCCGTTCGCAACATTTATTCATGAGCTTGATACGTGGTACTTGGTTGAGTTATCCCTTTGAAAGCTCACTAAGGAAGGTTTACTGGGATGGGTAGGTGAAGCGAGTAACTGCAAGGAGTGCCATGAAGTGCATAGATGGTGTGTGAACAAAGCACTTGTCAATTTACAGCAAAATATTGTAAGTAGGCCTACAGTGCAAGTGAAAACTATGCTATGATAACTTTGAAAGAACATCTTACCAATTGTCTTTGAAAGCCTGCTAATTGAAGCCAGTTGTCATCCTAAAAGGGTTCGAAACAAACTGAAAACGTCGTTGTTGATACAAGTCTCACTGTGAAATAACGAACATGTTAGTTCCTGGTTTGAGAAAAGTAAAAGCCAGGATGCCAGCTAGGCTAAAACAAAAACACAAATATAAAAGTAACAAAACTACAACAAGGAAATAGAATTAATCAAGCCTGAATAATGTTTGTTTTTAAATTGGTATGTAAATATATTGATTAACCTTTATCAAAACATATAATGATTTCTATGAGCTTGTCACATTTTTTGATCACTATGCTCGTTTCAAAACGGTAATGCAGCATTAATCTCAATAGCACTACAGCGGGTGTATATTTTCTCGCATATAATCGTAGTAGGTCAATGGTATCACGTGCACCAGCGTTCTGTTACACGCATGAGTGTAGTGATCATTGGTGTGTTCTTCTGAGTGGCTGCCATTTTGTTCCTGATGACTACGGCGTTTTGTGAGCCGTAAAGTGCAAAGATTATTCACAAATTTCTTGTTAGTGAGCCAGATTTGTCCAAACGACCATCAGGATTCGGAATTTTGCACATTTTAAAAGTAATTAAAAGATTTTTATTGCGTTGTGCCCCGTACCACCTGTCGAACCAAAAATCGTGGGTTCAAATCTAAGGCGGATGACTAAAGCCTGCCTTGAGTTTTATATATAGATAGTACAAAGTTTTGGTTTGGGGTCATGAATTTGGTGTAAATGAACATATTGTGAGCATATGCGATCCTACAATATTCAGTCATCGTTGTCGCGGTTGAAATCGAGTCCAAAGTGATGAAATTGTAAATAATAAATCTTTATGTTGTATAGCTCCCTCTCAAGGTCAAGAATTAATTCAGCTTTAAAACAATGTTTCTTGACTACAAGCGACCGATTTGCTATTCCCGTTTGAGAATTATATACACTGTCGCTCATAAAGGTGGAATATTTTCTTTTTACCCCAATTTACGGAATTATTTAAAAAATAATTTAAAAATAATAGATCTAGATAATAGTATACATTCTCAGATTTTATTGAATAATAATTTGCCAATGTGTGTTTTGCGTGACTGCTGAAGCATGTGTATGCTACTTTGCTTATCAACTAGGGGACCTACGCCCTTAAGTCATAAATGACAGTAATTAGGTTTAATGCCCCACAAAAGGGCACTGATATAGCACATCGACACGATTTTGATCCTGGCGCCTCACAGTTACGAAGCTATTGCTTTGTCAATGAACCATGACTGTACGCAGCGGGGGCAAGGGTAGGGGGCAGTTTCCATAAATTAAAAAAAAAAATAAAATGCAATAACTTTACAATAATTTATTGCATTTTACCCTGGTCCCCAACAAATTTTCTGGACGGCCATGCATTATGGCTCAAGGCATGGGCACACAGAAGATTTCTTTATGTTGGGAACCGGGGTAAAATGCAATAAATTATTGAAAATTTATTGCATTTTCTGTTTTTTTTTATATTTATGAAAACAGCCCCCTACCCTAGCCCCCGCTGCGTACAGTCATGGTTCAATGACAAAGCAATGGCCTCGTAACTGTGAAGCCCCAGGATCAAAATCGTGTCGATGTGCTTTATTAGTGCCCTGTTGTGGGGCATTAATCCTCATTACTGTCATTTATGACTTAAGAGCGTAGGTCCCCTAGTTGATAAGCATTGTAGCATACACATGCTTCATCAGTCACGCAAAACACACATTGGCAAATTAGTATTTAATAAAATCTGAGAATGTATACTATTATCTAGATCTATTATTTTTAATTTTTTTAAAAAATAATTCCATAAATTGGGGTAAAACTAAAATATTCCACCTTTATGAGCGACAGTGTATCACAACTGCATACTCTGAGATTTTTATGGTCGCAGCTACCATGGAGTGGCAGTAGGCGCTATTTGATTTTTTTATAATTTACCGGGAGCACCGGTAAATTTTATTATTCAAATTTCTCGAAAGCAGAAGTGTTTTAGGGGCTAATTTTTTTTAGTGCTTATAATACATCCCCAGGTTCATCCAAATATAACAACATTTAAAAAAATTACTATCCATCCAGTTTTCAAAATTTCCCAAAGCTTTGTATTACCTTTAACGTGCCCAATACGCCAAATACTAAATACTTTACTGTCTTAATGATAATAATAAACTAAACACAAATCTCTAGTTTTTTTTAGTATCGAATCAAAATTGAGTTTTTTATGTTGATATTTATCATAAGTTCTGAGCTTTTTCGGATGAAGACATATCTATAAAGACGGGAAAGTTAGCAGAGTATGCACACCTATCGGCAAAGCGACAATACGTGTATTAAAACAATTAGCCAGTTCACGGATACCCATCGAGCCCGTATGACGTCACGTGTTATAGGTCAAATTGGACATATCTCGCAATGTTTATAATCGCTAGGCATAAATCTTTATGTAGTGCACAAAGGGAAAAGTGGTATGCAAGATCTTTCTTTCCTTAATCCTTTTTTTCCCATCAACTTTCAAATTGTCACCTAATATAATTATCTGACTTTATGAAATGGGAACAACTGTTTAGAACATCACAGTTCTAGGGAAACAGCGGACAGTTTAACCAATTCCAGATATTAACCTGCGAATCGAGCTCGAGTCGAGAACCAGCCTCGGTCTTATATATCGCCAGCGTATATGGTTAACGTGATTTTTTTCTGACCGTGCAATCAGATGCGATTTACTTCGAAAATCTGGCAGAAATACTTTTTCATTTAGTATTGATGGTTAGTTGATAAAAATTAACGTCATGATGCTAGTTATAACTGAGCAAACCGAATTCTCGGTCAACCTCCGCTATCAGCTATAGCCCGGGGAATTTTGGGACTCTCCGTGTGCGTGGTCGTTAGTGTAGCTGGGCTAGCAGGCAGCTGTATAAGACTGCACTGCCGTGTATACAATTGCAAGACTACATGTAATTTTTCAGTTTGATGCTTTACCTCTTTTCAGAAATTCAATTTCTGTTCTCCGAGTCCATTCATTCAATTACTGTTAGACAGTGTACTATATTCCAGTCGAAAGGTATCATAGACTAATTCGTATTATGTGGTAGCCTACATAGTAGGTAGTCTACGTCTGCATTTTTATTCGACTCTAGCTCGAGTCAAAGGTTAGCAGCCGGAAATATAATAAAATGTGTACACATCCTGATAATGTGTCCTAAGAAAATGTGGCTTTGATGATCATGTTTTATCTACCTCCTGTTTGGCAGGAAACAACCTTATGACCTATTGACCTTATGACCTTATGACCTATTTATGTGTTAGCGAGGAAGAAACCAAGATACAGTGGGGGAGGACCTGCCAGAGCTATTTATTAGGATAGTGTGCATGGCCAACCTGGTTTGAGTTGGGCACGATACTGCTTTGTTGAACAAACACAGTTCAACAAATATACGCCATGTTGTGACCAAGTGAAACCAGGTTGGCCAAATTCTGTGTATAAATGGATCTGGGACCAACGAAAATGTCCCTCCAAAAAAAATCGCCCTTCTAAGCAAATAAAGTACTACCCCGGCAATAAAATAAATGCCCTTACTAAGGAGAAATATGTTCCTTCTTTTTCTGTTGCTCCCTTTAATAATATTCTTGACCCATTCGTTCGCTTTGTTCACTCATTGCAGTCCCCCGCCTGCCCCGCCACCTAGGCCACCCCGTCCCCCTAAACAAAATAAATCAATATGGAAGTAATGCAAATAGAAGTGTCAATTAAGTCGATAATTTTGTTGATCTAAGTTCAAGTAGAGTAATCGATATGATATATTTTCGTGGGTTACGTACAGGACAAAATAGCTTTGGTTTGCCAAAAAAGATCTAAACGCAACATACAACTTTTTTAAAGAGCGCCATCTAAAACAAAATGTCAACATGACGTGTAAAGTAAGTCTGAGATGCGGGTCTGCCGTGTAACCTATTAAATTGTGACATTGATGATGATGTGAAATTTTAAATATAACAGTGATAAAAATGATGATAAGATTGTAGATGATGATGATGCTGCTGCTGCTGATAGTGGTGATGATGACGATGACTTCATTATCGTCCTCATCATAATTTTAATACATTGTATTGTAATTATCAACATATTTTCTTAAATATCATCATCACCATTGCCATCAGTATTTATTACTGCTATCAACACCTTCAACATCATCATCACGCCAATCGGCCATATCCTAACTTTCATCATCTATTTTATCCCTGACCTTGTCATAAACGTCATCATTATGAAAAGAAACCTTGTCACGGTATCACTGTCATTATTATTATCAATGTTTCTATCATTTTCATCATCATCATCATCATCATCATCATCGTCATCATCTTCATCATCATCATGCCCATTGTTAATGTCAGGACTATCATATATTTCATCACCAATATCTTTATCTACGCCATTAGTATATTAAATCAATCTCTGTCATGGTATAACTATCGTCATCACTATCAATATTGTTATCGTTATAATAATCATCATCTTCGTCGTCAATCATCATTCGACTTTGTTTACATCATAACTAATGGCCGTCTACTACTACTAATAGCTAACCTACATAAAATGGGTGTAGCTGAGTGAGTGAGACTGCTGAGCTTTTCTGACTTCCCTTTGTTTGTTCTGAATACGTATTGAATATTGAATACTGTCCTGCCAAATTTAATCACCGGTATTCATCACCGTTCGACTTGCAAACGCCATCATGAAGAATTACTTCTTACCACCCTCTTCTTCTAGATCACATCCACTCCTTCTAGCAATACTCTCAATAGTGTGTGCACTTAAACTATTGAAGAGTGGAAACCTGTACACGCAGATTGCAGACCATAGATCAGCTTCTTTACCCTTCTTTGATCTACACGCAACGCTTTGTGAACCAAGATCACTACACCAGCCTACTAGAAGGCGTACTTACACTGCAGATATTGATAACTGCAAACTGTTACTTTTTATATCATCCTGTAATAAGTGGAATCGAAATACAAAGCTTTGTCCACTTGACTTCAGGTCGACTTCTTTGAGCCACCTAACCATCCTACTTCTCCTCAGCGGACAAGTTGAAACCAA